AAGCACCTGCAACATAACACCCCAGACTTAACAATTGTCCAATAAAAAAGACCAAAAAGTCTGGATAGTGGACGTGGCAATGCCTGGAGACAGCAGAATAGATGAGAAACAACAGAAGAAGGTAACAAAATACAAAGACCTACAAATAGAAATAGAAAGATTGTGGCAAAAGCAAGCAAGGGTAGTACCAATAGTAATAGTCGCCTTGGGTACAATCCCAAAACAACTGGAGCACCACTTGAACACCATCGCCATTAACAAATTCGCCATTAGTCAATTGCAAAAGGCGGCCTTACTAGGAACCGCTTTCATCCTGCGACGATATATGTAATATTATCAAACATCCACATCTGCCTATCCCAGGTCCTTGGTAAGGACTCGATAGGTAGACAAAAATGCCAAATCCAGTTTGAACATCTGGCTGACTGTGCGATGATGATGATGATGATGATGATAATTAATAATAATAATACAATGCATTAAACCTGTTTTTAAAGGAAACAAATATAGAATAGCAATATTTTTTCACTCTATGCATGCAGTCCAATGACAAAATGGTAGATATAATTTTCTTTTCTAATAGATCTTGCCTAGAATGCAGAGCAGTCTACTACTAAGTGTTCTGCTTCATGCAGCACTTCCTGGAATGATTGTATTTTTTGTTTGTGGTTGCTCTGACTGTTGACATCCTGTGTGTGGAGGGGGGGAGTAGCAACCCCTGCAGATTCCACAGCAATAAATTAAAATATTTTTATTTTGAAAAGAAAGGAAAAACCAATGCATCAACCATAAACTACCCTGAACAGAAAAACAAATGCATGTCCAAATATATTATTAAAAATCAGACATAAATTTTCCACAGCAGAATTTCCCCTAAAAAAGCACACCTTCTTAACCAAAGGGTCCAGGATGGTATGTGTTATTGTTTATGCAGATTGTCACATTCACTTCAACAGAGGAAACAAATACTGTATGCAAAAAAGAACAAAGGAATTCACTGGTATCTTGCTTTTAATGACTGAACTAAGTAGCATAGATCCATAAAAAGCAAAGGAGATTTATATGTACATTAGAATTCACATTAAATACAAAATAGTTGGAAAGTACAATAGCTTTAAATATATTAACAATGTACTCTTTTAGCTAGTTGCTTGGTTTGTTTCCTTTGCTTGTGTTTTTAGTCATCCTGGAGAGAACTGTCAAATCAATATACAGATAATACATGGCCCATTGCTAATGTTACATAAATTTTACATAATGAATAATATAAGCATGTTTATGAGGAAGGAAGCATGACTGTTCAAAGTTACTTAGTTTGAAGACTAGACTATTAATATATTCATTTTTCCAAGACTAAAAGCTGTACAAACTACCTAACAGGGCTGTTCTTTGAATAAAATAGAAATGATTCATGCATGCATTTTTGTGAAGTCTGGATTATGGTCCAACCAGCTAAAGACATAAATATTTTCTAGTTTTACCTAGAGTTTCCTGAATCAAAACAGAATTTTTGTTTTTACTCTGCTATGATTTTTATTTATTTAAAAGATTTATATGGCTGCCCTTCTTAAACAACTCTGGGTGGCTCACCACGACAGTAAAACCAGAACTATAAAACAACCATAAAACAAATATTGTTGCTAACTTTCAGTTGCTGATGAGTAAAGAAAGAATTTTTTTACCTCAATTCTCCCTATCCTGGCACCCTCCAATACAGTGGATTACAACTCCTATCGCCCCCACCTTGCCTAGTACTTCTGTAAGTTGACAGTTTGGAAAAGCAGTAAACGCTTCAGCAATTGGATTGTATGTGAATGTTTTAACAATTTAGAAGTGAAACAAATCTCTTTGTGACAGGATCAGGCAAGATATTTTATAAATCATATCAGAACATGGGCTAAATGGTAAGGGATGCTGAAGGCGTCATCTAACAAGAAAAATAAGACACTAAAATTATCTTGACAGAATTTTCAGAAAGTACTTCACATGTACAAACATATCTGACTTCTATAATCATATTCCACACAGCTCCAAATTTATTTGTTTTGCTGTCTACCTTCTGATCTCTTTTGCTGGCCTGGGTAGCAAAACTCTTCTCAGAAAACAGAGAGAGAGATGAAGGTAAGAAAAGTGATGTTATCTTTTTCTTGAAGAAAACCTTCATTTTCCTTGCACCTAGAAACTACATAGAAAGTTACCATCATTTCATAATTTTAGTAAGCCTTGTGTGAATGTCCACTATAATGTCATTCTAATTGAATATTTAGCAGTCAACAAGGTCAAATATAGTAATTTCAAACATGCTTGGAAATCCAGATTTACTTCAATATGCAGCAACTTAGACTAGGCTTGACAGTTCTCTGACCTTGCTCTTTTATATGTTTATTCTCCCAAACCATGATCTGGAAACTGATCATAATTGGTCTCCTTGCTTTCTTAACTTCCCATAAGGTATATGGCACATTAAAATGATAGCTATAAAATATTTATTTTGCTATTGTTGCTAGCTGGAGCACAGCACTAACAAATTAATTTCTGCTAAGGAAAAGATCCAAGCCTGTAAACAATCCTCATAAAAGAGGAGCTTAACTTACTAAAGGAAGAGTGTCAGAATAGAGTGTGATCCAGGAACACAATGACAAGGAAGATGGAATGTGTTATTATTGATATGGGATGTGTTTATTAATAACATTACCCTCTCTTATTTTCTCTTAAGTTTTGACTTGTTGGTAACTCATTATAGGTAGTCCTCAAATTATGACTACAACTGAGCCCAAAATTTCTGTTGCTAAGCAAGACAGTTGTTAAGTGAGTTCTTCCCCATTTTATAACCCTCCTTGCCACATTTGTTAAAGTAAATCAATACAGTTGCAATACAGTCATTAAATGAACTGCTGTAAGTTGAGGACTACCTGTATTTGTAGTGGTGAGAACTGCAGGAGTAAGTGCAATAAAATAAAATAAAAATTAAAAATGCGTGCATGAATCATTTCTATTTTATTCAAAGAACAGCCCTGTTAGGTAGTTTGGTCTGAGATAAAGCAACTGGCAATAGCCATTCACTGAGTTCCATGGTCTAAATCTGGGTCTTTCCTTATTTAGACCAGCTACCCTAACCTCTACAATATGCTGGCTTGCCAAAGCTGTGAAAGTCATAGTAGCTGCTTTTATATCCTGGATTTAGGATCTAGGAGATTTAGCTCTGAAATCCATGCTCACAGGGTTAGGTTCCCACTGCTGAAATGTTTTATTCATTTGCTTGCAGTAACATTTAAAATAGCTTAAAGACTGGTAGGAAGCTGGGAGATTATGATGATCCGCAGTGGTGCAACTATATAGTAGTGGATAGACACACCACACTATAAGAAAGATAAATTACTTGGGTGTTATTATTTATTTATTTATTAAATTTATATGCCTCAGAAAGTGGAGGTAAATATCAAGGCATCAGAAAATAGAAAAAATGAATTAAAGAAGGAAAGAAAAAGTGGTTGTTTTTCCTCACCCCTTTGGAATGCTATGTAGCCACTATAGAAGACCTCAGGTGGAATCTGAAAGTCTGTCTTTATTTGGGAATAGATTTCTTTCAAAACAGCATGGCTTTCTTTCAAATAGATAAGTTTGATTATGGTTTCAATTGTACCTGATGAAGTCAAGACCTTCTTGATTGACCCCATTATAAAAATCATGTCATTCCCATTGTAGCCTTCATACTGTATGAGTAGAGAATAAAACAGAATCATATAGACTAGACTAGACTAGACTAGACTAGACTAGACTAGACTAGACTAGATTATAAACTAACTAAGGGCACTGGTCTTATTTCAATTTATAATTTGAACTATACCACTTATAGCAGTGATGGCGAACCTTTTAGAGACTGAGTGCCCAAACTGCAACCCAAAACCCACTTATGCATCGTCGAGTGCCAGGTGGGCGTGGCCCATGGGTGGGCATGGCTGCAGTGGTAATGGCAGACTGGATGGGACTAAAAAGTTCAATCAATCAATTCCAACTTTGCAAGATCTTTTTTTTCCCATGAGAAATTGAAATTGACTGATTGAACCTTTTTTTTTTTTTTTTTTTGGTACACGGCAGCGGAGGCCTAAAGCAAAAAGGTTTTATAAAACCCAACTGAAACCCTAGGACTGGGGCGACGGCGCGCATGCCCACAGAGAGGGCTCTGAGTGCCGCCTCTGGCACCTGTGCCATAGATTCACCACCACTGACTTATAGCTACTAACTATTGCATAATAATATAATTTAAATATTATAGTATTGACATAAAATGTCATACAATATTCCAACATGGGAATATTCTCATGTTCCATAATATAAATGTATTTGTTTTTATTCTTAGCTAATTTCATAAAGTTTGTTAGTCTCCTTTTTAAATTATTTATTGTTTTTTATTTTCTTGGGGTTTTTTTCCATTGACTGTACATGCAAAACTAATAATTTTTTTTAAAAAATTCAAGTTAAAAGGAATTGCAACCTTTTTATCACCTTTAAAATAAAGTTTTGTTTTGTTTATCTCCCATGAGGAAGAGATTAATTTTCTAGTCCACTTGCCATTATTTAGAAAGTCAGGAGGCAGCATTGTTGAAATTATATCCATTTTTGCATTTTAATTTTTTAATTGATAGACTAGCAGCAGAGTATATGAGAGACCCGTCTCTTCCAAACCGGAGTTAGATGCCATATGAGGCACCCACAAGAAACCAAATGATGATACAGGCACTATACTGTTGCTGCTATGTCTGCTTTCCATCTCTAATATGTATCCCTAATACCCAGCTCTCATTTTATTCCTTTTTTTATCATCATTACAAGGATGAGAAATATGCAACCAAAAAAGTAGGGTCCCAGTGGCAATCCATAAAAAGTTGAGTTTGAGTTCCCAAGCCTAAATAGTTATCACCAAACTCTTGTTTTTAACGTGAGAGTGAAAATTATTAAGCATAATGGAGAGTCATCATGTTAATTATATTTTATTTCAGACTTCAGTTCTCAGTGGCCTTGCTTAAAGTGACTGGTTCAGTGACAGAATGCAGGCTTCACAGGCTGAAGACTCAGGCTTACTTCCTGGTATTTATTTCCAGGTAAGACTGGGAAAGAGCCTTGTGGAGATCCTACAGTCATTATCAGAATCATTAAGCTAGATACCTTGATGATTTAATTGGCCAAGGAACTTCTTCTATTCTTCTGGAGTTTATTCAGAATCCTTTCAAATTAAGTTACTCTTGACTCCCTTAGTCCTAGCCAGTGAGTCACAGCAAATGCTGTTCAGAAAGCATGAAAGGACAGAGTCTATAATCATTTTATTTATAGTAAAGTTTAATCAATCACATAGTAACTCTCCCTCTCTATGCAGATTTTCTGATTAAAATTAAAGTAAAAAGGAGCATTCCCTTTGTTTCAGAATGCCTGGCCACCGTCAGATTAACTTGACTACAAGAGTAGTTATAGCAAAACTACAAAGATCTCAGTTCTGCCAATGTGCATTCATTTAAACCTGCTGCTTTTGTCTTTCCGCCAGTAACAAATTGGAAGGCAAGTATCAGATTTCTGCCTTCAGGCCTTATCATACTGCATCTACTGCATCTATTTATATAATTAGCTTGATCAAGAGGGCATATTTGGGAGTTGGCAGGACCAAACAAGATCAAATTGGGACTGGTAATTTCAGTCCAATTTCATAATTCCCTTCTAAAAGGACTTTCTTCCCCCAGATATTTACAAGGGGATTCAATATCTAAATAACTCTCTCTCTCTCTCTCTCTCTCTCTCTCTCTCTCTCTCTCTCTCTCTCTCTCTCTCCCTCCCTCCCTCCCTCCCTCCCCCCCTCTCTCTCTTCCCCCCCCCCACACACACACATACACACGCACACAATTTCTGATATGGAAAGCTGAAGTGATCTGGATAACTTTCTTATATTGGACTTACAAACAAAACTTGTTAAAATTTTGAAAAAATTTCTGACAACAAAGAAAAATGAGAATAAATAAAATTTTAGAACATTATTTAAGGGAATTAAAGACCAAGATTGTCAAAAGGCAAGGAAAATAAAAACATAGGTTGTTAAAAGTAAAAGGAAGGAATATAAAGTTGGCTTATTTAATCAAAGTTAATTGGATTATCTCTAGTAATTCTTAAAGGATTTTTGCTGACCAGGATTGAATGACAAGGCTTTAAAGATTTGTTTATAAATAAGAGATGAGATATTGGGAGAAAAGATCATTTGTTGTATTTTAAGAGAAGATGGTAAATTGCTAAAATTGTTTATAATTGTTCCTATTAAGCAGAAAGTTATGTGTGTGTATGTAAAATATTCTTATTTTTTTCTTTTCTATTTTTCTCTGCTTTTTGCCACTATTTTTTTAGTTTGTATTGGTTCTTATCTTTTTACTTGTAATATTCAATAAAATTACTATTAAAAAGACAAAGGTTGAGTATTTAGAATACCATAAATACTGCCTATTTTCAGTGTAATTAGAGAACAATTATAAATATCATGGTAATAATCATTACAATGAGTCAAAAATTACTGGAAGAGTGAAATTGGAGAAACAAAATGGTTCACAATTGTTTGATTATATGCCATCAAGTAATTGTCAACAATTAGAAATCACATAGGTAAATTTTCTCTGTGATACTCTGTTCCTATAAGGCTATATATTGTCACTGAATCTATCTAACTTACACTGGAAATATATTACATGAATTAGGACCTTTGCATTCAAGATTATATTCATCTACCAATCTAGTAGGGAGAGAATGCTTAAAGTAGATACCTCACCTCAGAAGAGATTATGGCAGTTGTAACCTCCCCAAAAATGATATATTCTGTAGCAGCTTCATCATTCTGAAACAGCTTTTCTTGAGGCCAGATGTGCCCTGGTCCTATAACATGATGAAGACAGTCCTCTTCAGGCAGATATTCTCATAGTTAGGTCAAGTTATCAATAGCAACAGTTTGTACTGCCATTTTTATTAATAGCATTTGATGGTTTTAATTACTCATTATTTTTATAAATAATTCATGGTTGTTTTGTAAGCCATCTAGAGTCACCAGAAAAAGCATCATAAAAGCGATTACAAATAAACAATTAAATAAAACACCTGTGCTACTTTTTTTCCTAGAGCATCCCAGAAAAGATTGCTATCTTAGCTAAGGCTGTTTGTTTCCCTTCTGCAATTTCTTCTCTTCCAATACATCTGTAAAAGTACTAGAAAAAAAGAAAGAAAAGCAATGTAAAAGTGAAAAGGATAAGCAAAAATCAATACTTTCCAACTACCAGAATTTTTCCAATGAGAAACAGATCTCTATTTCACACGAATGCAATATAAAACATACCTATCTAGTAATAAATTACACTGCTTCTGGTTTTACATCCAAGTAAATATGTTTGTAATTGCAGCCTTAATTAAAATTCTAATTTAAAATGCTATTTATTTCTGGAGTTAGTTGTAATCTCTAATTGAAAATTCAGGTCCTGTATGAGTAGAAAAAGAGCTATCGTGGGTGTTCTGCGGAAATAGAGCTCTGAAGGAATTCAACTTGGCAAGGTTCTCCTAGCATGGAAAAGCCTGGAGACTTCCTGATTTTTTTAACTGTAATTAGCTCTCTCTAAACAAAAAAAAGTATTCAAAAGCTTAAGGTTCTACAGAATTTCAGTATCACATTCCTTGAAATTAACAAAAAATCAAAAAGCATCATTGAACCTACAGATATAAAGGACATATGAATATGACAACCTGTCCTGCGAGGTCTACATCATCTCTTTGTTATTCTCTCTGAGCACTGCTTCAATGCAAGCAGCTTCCAGTTGGAAGGGTTGAGAAAAATATTGTCTATGTGTACGGTAGTATTGGAATGAACAAATCTATTAATTTCATCTAATCTTTCCATCTGTAAATGTGATTCATCCCATTCACATATCAAAGGTTTATTTTTTTAAAGAAAGTTCACATTAAATTCCTATGTTTATTTGTTAGCTTGAAATATTATGAACAAATACATTTTATGCAGATTTGTTACATATATTTATTGTATGTTACTGGCAATCCATGCTGCAAAATTTGGATACTACTTTCAAGTTATATAAAAATATAAGAATGAACGTCTCATTAAGATTATTTTCAAATGTAAATAAAACAAATTTCTGCTCTATACCTAGTCTATAAGGCATATTAGGAAACATTTTATCAATATTGTGGTCACTACAGCTTTTTGATTGTTCAAATTAACATTATTAGAGTTGTGTTTTTAGCAGCTTCTTATGAAGCTGCATTCTTCTAAGAGCTAGATCTGCATTTTCAGAATGAGCATTATTTCATTCACAGTTTTGCTGAGATCAGTGACATCCAGTGGTTGCTGAAGGGGGTAAACAGAACAAGATAGCAATCATGATTTCTTGATCATGCTTATTTTATTAGGTTTTTTTTTTTACTGTATTAATAGTAAAAAAAAATGGCAATCATAACAGCCTGATCAAAGCCCTGGTCTTTTGTACAGGCATCAATATCATGTGCACTTACAAATGGATGGGTCTTTTATCATGTCACTGCCACTATAATCTTGGGCATTTTTTAATACTTTCTCCTAAGTATCTTTGAAGAATTCCTTTCCTACAATTTGTTATCTGCTCAAGACAAAACACCAGATGGCAAAGTTCAAAAGTTTATTAGCACACAAGACAAAAACATTGAATGCAGCTGATCCTTGGCAAGTAATGTAAATTATTTTGTAATCATATATAAACAACCAGTTTGCACATATCTGAACTAAAATCAACTTTAACTTTCCTAATAAGGAAAAGCCTCATTTCTTATTTTTTAACTGACATGTCTTATTTCCTGTTGCTAGAAGCCTAACATTTATTCATGCTCCTTCTTTATCTGTCCTACATCACTCTTTTATTTTTGTGGAACAATGAAGTGTCCTAACTTCCTTTCTAAAATGACATTAATTCAGCTTTCTAATTCCTTTCAACAGCATGGAATAGGAATCTTCCACTCTAGATGAGTTCAAATCACCAGGACAAGATAGATTACATCCCAGGGTTCAAAAAGATCTGGCAAATGTGATCCTGGAACCATTGAACACAATATTTCAAAGTTCCTGGAATATTGGGGAAATACTAGAGGACTGGAAAAGAGCTGATGTAGTTCCAATCTACAAAAGGGGGGGGGGAGTGGATCCAGAAAGCTACAGATTGACTTGAGAAAATCCTGAAAAAGAAAACCTTATTGCCCTTTTTTGACAAAGTGACTAATCTAGTAGATAAAGGAAATGCTATGGAGATAGTACACTTGGACTTCAGTAAAGCATTTGACAAAGTAGACCACAGCCTACTTCTTGGTAAGGTAAAACAATGTGGGATAGACAGTACCACATCCAAATGGATTGACAAATGGCTGATCAACCACACTCAGCATATAATCCTCAATGGAACTACTTCTACATTGAGGGAAGCATGCAGTGGGCTATCTCAAGGTTCTTTTCTTGGGCTTGGTGCTCTTCAACATCTTCATAAATGATCTTGTTGAGGCAATAGAAGAGGAACTCATAAAATTTGCAGATGACACCAAGCTGGGGGGAATAGCTAACACCAGATAGACTTCAGAACAATCTTGATAGACTTGAATCCTCAGCCCTAGCCAATGAAATGCAATTCAGTGGTAAGAAAAATAAGATCCTATACAGGTATAGAATAGGTGATATCTGGTTCAATAGTAGCAACTGTTAGAGGGATCTAGGTATCCTATTAGACCAGCACTTAAGTATGAGCCAGAAGTGTGCTGCAGCTTCCAGAAAAGTCTATGCAATCCTAGGTTGCATCAACAGACGGATAGTTTCAAGATCACATGAAGTATTACTACTTTATAGTGCACTGGTGAGACCATACTTCTGTGTCCAGTTCTGGTTATCACAATACGAAAATGATGTTGCGACCCTAGAAAGAATGCAGAAAAGAGCAACAAAGATGATAAGGCATCTAGAGTCTAAAACATACAATGAACGATTGAGGGAATTAGGTATGTCTAGTCTAACAAAGAAAAGACTAAGAGTGTTATAGTCTTCCAGTATTTGAGGGGCTGTCACAGAGAAGAAAGGGCTGACCTAAGGCACCTGAGGACAGAATAAGAAGTAATGGGTACAAGATCATTAAAGAGAAATCCAACCTAGAATTTCCTGACAATGAGAACAATTAATTAATGAATGCCTTACCTCCATAAGTTGTGGCTGCTCCATCACTGGAGGATTTCAAGAAGAGGTTGGACAGCCATTTGTCTGAAATGGCATAGGGCAGGAGTGTCAAACTGCCAGCCCATGGGCCAGATGGATCATAGCACCCCATTGCCGGCAATGGCAAAAAAAAGTTGTGATACATTGCAACATGTCACATGACGCTGCGAGTGACACCCCTGATTGAGCAGGTGGTTAGACTAGAAGACCTCCAAGTCCCTTCCAACCCTTGTATTCTATGTTCTATGTATTGTGAGAGATTTCTCTCTCAGTTATGCACACATATTGATGAATTTAGTCTATAATTAATCTGGAAAAATATTGTAGATCATGGTGGGCTTTATTTGGATACTCAAGCTAAAGGTTGACAATATCTCAATAAAGATGTCAACTCACTATGAGACATATATGAAAACAGAAGATTTCATGCTAAGGATGTTTAGGAATAGTGATGAAAATAAAACAGCTAACTTTGTTGTTTTCTTATACAAATCCATGACACGTATGCATCTATAATATGTGTGCCTTTCTGATAACTGCCTTTAGAAAGGCTACAATGGACCTGAAAGAAGTGTAGGAGAGGGCAACCAAGCAAACAGGGGCTCAAACTTTGCTTTTAAGAAAAGACTAGAAAAGTGGTAAGATACTGTTAATAGATGATAGACAGATGGATGGAATTTGTCAAATAATAACATTTAATCTTATCTTGCATTCTTATCTTTACATACTTTTTAACATACTTTAAAAATAGTTTTCATTTCTTTTTCTTTTTCCTTTATAAAATCTGCTGAAACTAATCTGGTGATATTCTGGTGATTTCCTGGCCAGGTATGACCCAGATTTGATCCTGGTGCATAGGAGAAATATAGGAGACTACCTGGACTGTAGACTACAATGGACAGTTAAAAGGAAATTGCAAAGCCTTCAGAAAGTACAGGATTAAAAAAATGTTAACTCACAGCCTGGAACACTATTTACTCTTTCCTGCAAAAGTTTATTTGCACAAAACCCTATTAATTTGATTCAGCTAGCCACTTATAAGTAGATAAGTGGCCTTACCCAAGCTTATATATGTTTCTACCAAACTAGATTTCAGTTGCAAGATTATAGTGCAAATAGAATGAACACTAGTAATATCTGCTTATGAGTTTGACCATTTTTCCTTTTCTACTTTATTGCCAGGTCAAACAGAGAAAACAAGGTCAAGTGGATAAAGGAGAAGTTTGAGAATACCAAGAGCTGATCCTAATGCAATTTGAAATAGAATGAGGCTGACTTAACTGTCTCCAGTCTAACTGAAGTTCTAGTAAACCACCTTGTTACCCATATATGTTATTGAAATATTAATATAGGCATGACTCCAATACAAATTTCCTGATATTTACTCAGAATTTGCATATTGATACCGAAAAATGCTGAAAAGAAGAGCATGAAACAGGGAGGGCAACCATATAATAATTGTTGTGAGAAGCAACTAATTTCAAGTCATATTATCCAAAACTACCTGAGAAATAGGAACATTACAACCAGGGTCTCCTATTTCCAAGTTTCCCAGGAAATTCAGGATACATGGTTAATGGTATATAAAATCACTGAATTATGGATAGATAATTCCACTATCTAGCTGCTCTCAGAGTTGGAAAATAATTCCTAATATTCAATTAGAATTGGTCTTCCTGTATTTATTCAGTGCTCTATATTCCAGAATAGAGAACAAGTTAGGAACTTCTGTGTGACAGCTATTCGGGTACTTAAAAAGCTGTATACTATACTTTCTTTATTCTCTTTTATTTGCTATTTGTTGGAAGAAGAAAATAAACTAGTCAGACAGCATGAAATAATGAAACATTGGAAAGCAGTGGCCAAGATTTCCAATTGCCAAGATCTCCAGTTGAGGATTATTGTTTTCAATGATGCAAATTGTGAGAATAATAGATGTGTGGCTGGCTGGAGTCACAGTGCTATATACAACTGCTAGGAAGAATGAGGTTAATCAGAAAGGAAGTGAGATGGTCATTTGGCCTTCGCCTCAAGCTCAAAAGGGGAAGGAGGTTAAATGCAGATTTTCTATACTTTTGTTTTCAAAGTATTTAAATTCATTTTTGAAAGCCACCCACTAGAGCTAAACTAGACTTGCAGCTAGTTTCTCTGCAACTCATTCCAAGAAGTTGATAAATATGACCTTGACAGCAGCCCTTGAGAACTGGAAGCTTATCTCTTCCTTATGACTCCTGTCAGAACAGAATTGTCTTTAATTATTCTCTGCCATTTTTGCTTCCTATTTGACAATACAGTTTGATGTATTTATTTCAGTTTTAATATGATGCAGTCAATATTCCCTTGCTTCCAATCTTCCTAAATGTTTATGTCTAGATTTCTTCATAACAGCCTGAATATTAAAAATAAAATGCTGTGAATATGAAGAAAAATATCTTAGGTCCAGAACATGATTGATGATACTTTCAGAGAGGTGAAAGTAGGGCTATACCATCTTGGAGAAAAAGTCTAAAGACTCTACAAGCTAAGGAGAAAGTACAGGATGGAAGAAGTAATGTGGAAGTTGCATGCAAATTCCTTATCATCATCTGAGGCTGACAGGAATAATGCTTCTCCCTGTAGATAACTTTACCTTTAAAATCTAGCATAATCAGAAGCTACAGGGCTCATTTCCTGGTTTTAATTTTTAATACATCGTACCCTTTTCATAACAAAGTGGTAAATACTGTTATTTTAAAAAGGCTATCTTATTCTGTAGTCATATTCGTGTTGTAATTTAAATCAGGGACAGGAAACCAGTTTCTCTATTCTTTTTGTGGCTAATACAAGTGATTGGAGCTACTCATAGCTGATTTGACCTTTTAAGTTGATTAAGTTTATCCTCTAAGATTTAATGCAGCTTTTGCTTGGTTTTCTTCTTACCAGACAGCAACAGAAAATTGCACAGTGAATGGGGGGGGGGGAGATAAAACAGGCAAAATATTGGCTATAACTGTGGCTGACATCTTCACTTTTTTAAAGTCCCTCCCGCCCCCCGCCCCACGCACACACTGATTACCAATATTTAGGACCTTTGCTAATTGTTAATGAGATATTCCAAAAGATTTCTAAAGCATGGGAAAAAAAGGAGGGGCACTTGGGAACACAGGTAACTTATACATTCCTGATTTAAATGAATTTAAAATGGACAACTTAATTTCCTTTTTTAAATTATTATGCTTGGTAATCAGAATTCTTTGTTCGCACCATGTATACAGGAAGGAATATAGCAATAACAATAGCATTTAGACTTATATTTAGACCCATAGCACTTTACAGCGCTCTCTGGGAAGTTTACAATGTAGAAGCATTATTTACATGTTGCTCCCAACAATCTGGCTCCTCATTTTACCAATCTTAGAAAGATGGAAGGTTGAGTCAACCAAACCCTAAGGAAATAATATGCTATTGTCTTGTCCCAAGAAATGTTGCAGAATGTGCACCCTCAGAATGGATTGGGCACATGAATCTCCATTCATAAATGGATCACTTTTACACTATTCTGTTTAGAATTTTAATATTACACAAAGGTGGGTTCACAATATTATATATATGTATTTAAATAATGGTCTCAAATAACAATCAAATTAAAAATATTATTACCCAATTAGACTTTTTTAAAAAAAAATCATACTTATTTTATTATGTAGCAACCATAAGCAAATCTCTGCACAGCCTAAGTTGAAACTAGAGCGTCAGTTTGTATATTTTAGTTGTTAATATTTAGAATGTGGGGAACTATCTGATAGCATTTTACCACCATATCCAAAGTACCACATTTGTTATACCACAGGACAGGTATTATAATAAAATGAGTTTTATACTCTGAAGCTGGAAGTGATATTAACATTCCAGCTAATAGCTGTTATTTATAACATGTAGTCCTCAACTTATAACCACAGTGTAGTCTTGAATTGCAGTAGTAAAGTGTTGCTGTCGTTGAGGAACCACATGACCAAGCTTGATTTTACTACCATTTTTATTACAGTCATAAAATGAGTCACTCACCCAAGCAAATCACATGGTCATTAAGTGTGGTCAGCAAATCTAGCATATCTAATGGATTTCTTTTTTCCAGAAACAGAAAAAAGTACCTAAAACAGCAAAAAAAAAAGGTTACAAATTCAGGTCACATGACCACAGGATGTTTCAATAGGTCATAAATGTGACCCAGTTGCCAACCACCAAAATGCAACATGTACTGTGGACGGGTGCAGCAGTTGTAATTTCAAGGACAGGTTTTTTTAAAGTCTATCATAACTTTGAACAGCTGTTAAGCGACCAATCATAAGTCAAGGGCTTACCTATATAGGGAACATTCAAAACACTTTCCCACACTGCATAATGGAGAAGTGTAGTTGTTTCCCAAATTGCAAACTGTGGTATCAACAGCTTGCCTGGAATTTAGTAGATGACAAATTGGTACTCTTCTGTGAACAACATTTCTGTACATGAGCTTCTGCTCCCTTAACCTCAATTTAAAATCCATTAAACAAATTTGAATTAAGATTCTAAGGTTTGTCATGGAATACATTTCAGAACAGACACATTTTCATATGGAGAATAGCCACAGAATTAAAGTTCCATAACTGAAAAGTAGTCACAAAGAACTCCTGTCTGTGTTCTGTCTCCTTGCCTGGCAGAAACTTGGATTATATCTTAAGATGATTGCCTTTAGTGGAAAGTGCATTTATTCACAAATCCATATTTAGAATTCACATTTCCCCGAGTACCCTTTATTCTTCTAAGTTACATATTCACAATACCTGGCAAGATCTGGAACAAAGTAATGAGACATATTACATCTCTAGTAATAATAAGTGATCAAACAAGATAAGTGTATACAGGACTCCAACTTACAGACACTGAAACACTGAAAGGGCAAAGCAATTATTTGATATAGCCAAGATTGTGTTAGAAAGTGGTTTACGTAGAGTCCTACATACCATAGGAGAAAGCTTCATCCTCTTTTTAGTCATCCCTTAATTTCCTAAAGCAATTGAGCTTCAGAAGTTTCAAAAAGCTCAGTAGGTCAATATAACATTTCATATATAATCAGTGGTGGGATTTAAATATATGAACAACTGGTTCTCTGTGTGGATGCTGTTCATTCTGGGCCTGAGCAACAAAAAATTAGCTACCGGTTCTGCTGAACTGGTGTGAATTGGCTGAATCCCACCACTGTATATAATCCATCTGATTTTGCCAAATATCATCTTCAAGCTATTTATAATTGTGATAATAAATGTATGCTCTGTCTCTTTATCAACATATAAATAAAAGTCAGTCATTTACCATAATCAACTTGTCCAGTATATTCAGCAAGCAGGTAGCCTTTCTTTTGAATCATTGAAATTGGAAAGGACAGCTCCTTGTTTAATTATCTTTCTTTTAAAGGGACACCAAATTTAGTCAAAGCTTGGCTTGATGTTGAAGGCAGGTTGTTATAAAATAATTTGAACTGATAAGCAACTGAAGAGGTCAGGGCGTAGAGAACATATTTTAAAATGAAGCACTGCACTTGCAATTTACAGATTGATGTTCCTGTACATTTCTCCAAAGATTACACTCGCAGCATGCATTGATTTCTTTTTCAGTCATTCTGTGATAAGATCTTCACTGAAGGATGTGAATCCTGTGAAAGATCCAAAGCATTTTAGCCATCTGATCTGTCCTAGGTCCAGTTGGTGAAAAATCAGATTTTCTGTAGATGTCAGTCTGCATTTGGAATATATGGAATCTTTAGTTAACCCAGTTGACTATTATTAAACCATGCTATTATGAAAGAGAGGCAAATGTCCAGGAGCTACTAACAAGGAGCTCTGCTAAGCATCTAATCTCTCAAGCTAATTCTGCAGAACCATTATTATTATTACTATTACTATTATTAATCATCGCACAGTCAGTCAGATGTTCAGACTGGATTTGGCATTTTTATCTACCTATTGGGTCCTTAGGACCTGGGATAGGCAGATGTGGATGTTTGATGGTATTACAGATATCATCGCAGGATGGAACCAGTTCCTAGTAAGGCTGCCTTTTGCAATATTATTATTATGGATCATCGCACAGTCAGCCAGATGTTCAGACTGGATTTGGCATTTTGTCTACCTATCGAGTCCTTACCCAGGACCTGGGATAGGCAGATGTGGATGTTTGATGGTATTACAGATATCGTCGCAGGATGGAAGCAGTTCCTAGTAAGGCCGCCTTTTGCAATTGACTAATAGCGAATTTGTCAATGCCAATGGTGTTCAAGTGGTGCTCCAGTTGTTTTGGGATTGCACCCA